TGGATGAGGACTTTGAAATTGGCTCAAAATCATGGACACCACTTGCTCAAGATTTTTTATCATCACCTACATAAAATTTAAAACGAAAACCCCAAAAAAAGGATTTAACTTCTAGCAGAAAGAAAAAACAATCAAACTCCAATGACTCAAAAAGAAAGTGTCTACCTTTGAGCAACCTTCAGCAATCTGCGCAAGCGCAATCACAGAAGCATGATGCTTCTGCCACTCAGAGGCAGCCAAGTAAGCAGAGAACTGCTGATACGCAACCGGAACAATCGTGTTCCCTCCCAAAGCAATCGCCAACCTATCCAAACACTCTTGCCCCATACTATAGTTACTCGTCTCGCCAGCATCCTCATCCTCCGTCTCAGCACTATACCAAGCAGGATCATCCTCTACATCCTCAAGCATCTTCATAAGAACCGCAAACAACCTATCAATAAACTGAGGCAACTTCCTCACCATCCCAGGCGCCCGCTCTCGCGCCTCAGCGAGCGTCACCAAAAACTCAATCGCCAGATGCCTCGTACTCTCCTCCAGAGACTCCGCCTCAGCGATCTGAAGCATCGAACCGACAACATCAATCAACTGCCTTCTGAGAAACCTCGGCTCGGTCCCGGCCAATTCGATGAACAGCTCCAACGCCTCCTGCGCCGTCGCTTCGTTCCCGTTGTTTAGCGACTCGGTCAACGTCCTGATCATCGCAGGCAAAACGTCCTGGAACCTATCGCGCTCCGTGGAGTTAGTTAGACACTGGACGAAACTGATAACGGCGTTTAGGGACGCGATTTTAACGTCCGAGTTAACGGAGTTACTACTTAAACACTGGAGAAAGACTCCGTGTAGATGTTTAATGTGAGGAGTTAGACTCTCACCAACGTACTGTGACAACTGCGCTAATATTAAAAACGCGGATTCCTGCAATTTAGGCGAATCAGACGAAACGCATTGGAAAACGAAAGGTAACAGCTCAGGCCACCCGTTCTCCGGGAGGATTCCCGAGGCGAGTTCTGAGACCGTATCGCAGATCTTTTTGGAGATCGATTTCGCCTCCTCGCGGTGGATACATGAGAGCATGGTGGATTTGAGGGAGGATTGAGTTTGCGGGGAGAGACGTGGCCAGAGGTAAGCGTCGTCGCGCGTGAGGAGCTTGCGGAGGAGGACGGCGGCCATGGCGCGGGCTTCGGGGTGAGGGGAGAGCTGGAGGAGGTGAGCGAGCTTCAAGGCTAAGGTATCGGGATTGGTTTGCTTGGCGAGGTGGAAGAGAGTCTCGGCGGCGGAGCGTTGCTCGTTGGAGGAGGACATGAGGTGGGAGATTAGGGTTTCGAAGGGGGCGGAATCGGGGCTGAGGATCATCGCGAGTTGTGCTTGTTGCTGCTCGGTGGCCATGGCGGCGGGAAAAACTAGGGTTGAATAAAAAGCTGTCTCTCTCTCCTCTTTTAGGGTGAGAGTCTATAGAGAGAGAGAGGGAGTGGGATGAGGAGGCGATGAGGTTTTCTGAAAGAGATAATTATGTATTTATTTTATTTTTTTATTATTTCCAGTTATTCGTGATTTTGAGGTGGGCCGATGGTGATAGCCCATTATTTAATCAAGGGGGGAAAAAGGGGAAAGTGATAATAATAGGGTGTCTTTTTTTTGGACAAATAATAATAGGGTGTCATTAGCTGTATATTTCGAGGGTGGGATGATTAATGACATAACCAATGTGTGTGTCCCATTTCTGTGTATAGTGTTATTTATAGAATTTAAAGTTTCACTTTATTATTTACGGAAAATATCTTTTACATTTAAGTATGAAACTTGGTTCAAACTTTTAGATTCCAGTTTCTGTGAACTGTATGTCGTATAGCAAATAGTACTAACAGTTTTTGCTTCAGTTTAGTGACAATACTTGTAATATCCAGCCCTTTTTTAATATAGGTTGGTCTCTATTCACATTTACTAGCATTTACCAAGGTTACTACCCTCTGTTTACCCTTGTGACTTGGAAGAAGCCTTCTTCAACGGATTTGAAGCAACCGTCTGAACATAAGGACCCTGATGGTTTAAATCCTGAGTATTCTTTAATGAGTTGGGCGGTGATCAAATCATTGCAGAAGGTGAGGATGATATCTCAAGAAATAAAAGCATTCAAAAAGGTATCAGCACATTACTTAAAAAAACCGTTGCATGATCTAGATCCTTCTGCTTGCCAGGCACGTCATGAGTTTATTTCCTTAGTCCATGACCATATTAAGTCTGTTGATACAAATATGGAACTGCATCACACTTCACCCAGTTGTTCAGACTCAGCTTCAGAGAGGATCGACAATAGCAAGATCCTGGTGAATGCATTGTCTTGTTTAGAAGATGATCGTGTTGCCCATATGCTTTGGAGTCTTTCCTTGGTCAAAATGTAGAACTTTATTTTATTTTTTTTGCATTACATGAGATTTTAACAGAAACTCATTGAACTAACGTGCTCGTATCACGTAAACCAATTCAGAGTTATTTTCCTAGAACCTTAGAAGCTTTAATACTTCACATGCTCTCACCTGTTGTTGCGGAAGTCCTAACACAGAAGTTTAATGAGATTGATTAACACTGTTGAAGAGGCCTTATCATCAGCACCATGGAAATAAAACTAATAATATGTTTTTGTTATACAGGCCTCGAAGAATGTACTAGAAAAGTAATTAGGGGTCAACATTGCTTCACCAACAACAAACATATGAAACATGTCTTGGTGGTGTGAGTGTTCAAAAAAAAAAAAAAGTCTTGGTGGTGTGTACTGGCCAGATGAAAGTGATCGAACAAGGTAGAGCATGTTGCTATTGATAAAGGAAAGGATGATAAAAGAGACTTGTTTAATTAGCCTGTTTTGTTCAGACGTGGATAAAGATTCTCCTGTTTCTGGATTGTAGAAAATGAGTGCATGTTTGATATTGTTTTTGAAATTTTGATAGCGAGTCTGAAGTGAAAGGCTTTGCTTCCTTTAATGAGCTCTCTACTAAATCAAATGTAACTATGCATATCACAGTTTTGTCACATTGAGTTCTCACATGTGGACAGGTCATGCATGGTTTGTTCTGGTTCAGAAGACATGTTTCTGTACAGATATACAAAAAATGTAAACGAAACTGAGATCAAATGTCTGGAGCAAGGGCTGTACTTGAATTTGAATGTCTTGCAACGAATGATTCGATAAGTGGGTTCACCATTTCCGGCTTCTCATCCTGAAATTTTTTACAGAAATACAATAAGAAGAAGAATGAAAGTTACTTCATTGGAGAGCGAGGAGAAACCTGAGGACAGTGGCCGGCTTCAGGCAAAACAACAAACTCTTCAACCGCATCAAAATCACCATAAGCTCGTCCAAGCTCGATTGGCTCCCATGGATCTTTTTCTCCCCACGCAATTAGAACCGGGCACTGAAACAGTTAACGACATGGCCACCGTTAAGTAAAAACTTAGTTTTAACTACGGCTAAGGAGGAAGAGCAGAGTAACAAACCTTGACCAGTGGGAGTAAATCCTCTGGAAGCGGTCCACCAGAGTAACAGATGAATTCAAGGAAAACATCAACAGCACCAGGCTCAAGACCTGGCCTTAGAATTGCCTCAACTAGCTCATCCGTCACTTGAGAGCTATCATGGTAGCACTAAATTGCAAACAAATACTCCTTAAAGCTTTACAATACATAAAAATATCACGCAATCCCACAACAATATCATCAAAATACCTGGCTAAGAATGTTTCTTACTGTCTCCGGTTTAGCAATGCTCTTGAAAAAGAGTTTCCCAACCGGAGTGTTCCTGAGACGAGAACATGACAATGTTCAGCTGCAAACACCACTGAGAATCTTTATAAGATACAAAATACCTAAGTAAATTCTGGAATGATCTGATGAAAGGTCTTCCAATAAATGGTTGTTTCTTGATATGAAGCATACGGAGAGATATGTTAATAAGCATAAGCCCTCTGCATATCTCTGGCTTACTCACTGCTGCCTGAAGACCAACAAGTCCTAAAGAACACCAATCTCCCTGTCATTAACTGAACCAAAGGGCCACAGAAAGAAACTTGAGAGCTAACCTCCGATAGAGTTGCAAATAAAGAAGGCTTCATCTTTGACGACATCAAGACAAAAATCATTGAGTTGTTCACCCCATGTCTCAAAAGTGTAGAACGGTTCTCCTCCAAACTCACGAGGATTTGGTTTATCAGAGTATCCATATCCGATAAGATCGATTGAGTAGACTCTATATGATTTGCCAAGAATAGGTGTGTTCTTCCTCCAATGGTCACTGATCACAGAACAAAAACATGTGATGCAAATATGCTACTGTTTGAAGCCATTGGCTCTCAGTGACCTGATAAGCAAACCTTAACAAATATGCTGCTTTAAGACTTCCTCAGAGATTTTGGTAAAATATTAACTGATACCTAATAGCAAAATAGGGTTCTAGAAGCTACCTGTTAGCACCGAAACCATGAACCAAGACCAAGGCAGGGCCACTGGTTCCAGCACACTGATATCTTACTGAATAACCTTTCCAGTTCCATGTCCTGAAAATACCAAGAAAAACTATAAAAATACAAAACTATAAAAATATACATTTTCATATGAATTTAATCAGAATTACAGAAAGGTGATATACAAGGTTCGAACTTCAGGACAAACATCTTCCAAGGTAGAAGCTTTGTCCGTGACAGAAGAACATGAAACGGACCCATTTCCCCTCGAAGTCCGAGATCGTACGATGCCTGTCGGAACCGATTGTCGGAGAAAATAGGTTTCCGTGAAACTGATAATTGAAGTGTTCTTGATCAGGACTCTTTTACTGAAGAGCAGCGAGGTTGTTTCCAAACTGGTGAGTGGTAAAGCTCTAATGTTCGCCATGACTGGTTTTGGGCTGAGACAACATTGATATCTTGGCTCTAAAACGGTTTTGGAGTTGTAAGAAGGACAAGTGTCGCGTTTTGGACCAAGCGTATTTCTCTTACGTCATGTTATATCTTTTTTTTTGCATCTGTTAGTTAAATATTTTCATATAAGCTAAAGGAGATGAATGAGAACGTTTACACATATACACACTGCTTAATGACTATATTACAAGTAAATCAACTAAAAAAGAAAACTTAAGGTCCTAAATGTTGTGGTGTGACATTCTTCTTCAGCTAATAACCTCTGAGTTTGAGTCATCGGAAGGCCATATCACGGTCTCCATAAGGCGTTCACGCATCAACGCTAAGTTCTCATCTGATATGTCTTCGTATATCTTACCATGGTCGCATTTCTACAAGCAACAAAACTCTTGGATTATGAGTCTCTTCTTGTTCCCATGGCTGATTTTAAAACAAACAAATACATAACTTAAACAATGAGGGAGATTTAGCGAGATATTTTACCTTGATCCACTTGCCATACAAGTGGAGACGCGTGATCATCACTCTTTCTGCAAGCTCCTGACTCTCCTACAAAGTGGTTTACAGAGGATAAAAAAAAAGAGCCTGTTTATGCTTCTGAGATGAACACACAAAAAGTACTCTTCTTCCTCTCCATGCTCTAAATCAGGCTGAATCAAACAGAGTATATCACAGCACATAGTGTTCTTATTCCAGTTCACCAAACTAGGAAGACCTTTCAACCAAACCCTTCTAGCTAATCAGACCTCATTAACTGCTTTCTAACCAACTCATCAGAGCTACAATCGGCTACTTTCAGTCCTAGGCTAAATAAAGTAGACCCATAGCTAAAGTCTGAGCAGCTAAACTTATTCAAGGCTTTAGAGAAAAATAAACTAAACTTGATTTGATTTACCTTGCCAAGGTTGCGGAGGAAACGTTTGCCATCGGTTGGTCTGTTTGATACCACGTAACTGTTGTAAAGCAAAAGAGACACACATAAGAACACAAGCCAAAAATGATCGCCTAAGTTTTTTTGTTAACTAATTCTAATACAGAACTTGATCAAAACGAAAGATTCAGTTCATGGAGAGCACTAGAATCTTTCGTTTTGATCAGAGTAATAAGAAACTTACTTATCGAACCAAGTGTATTGAGGAGGATTCATTTCGTAGAGCTGATGAAGAACCGTCCTCACAGCTTTGTATGTGAAATAGTTAACAAGTTGCTGCAAATTTTGAAAAAAAAAATGATTAGTCATAAGAAGCTTTATCATGCTCCTCTCAAAAACAATCTTTCTCACCGTTTTAACATCTCCGAACGTATCATCGTAGTTCCCAGCAACGTCCTCACTGACAATCAAGAGCCTTCCTCTGCTCCTTCGAGTCAGAATCCTTGGTACTCGCTTCTTCGAAGAAAGCCTAAAAACAATACCTGAACCAGTAAAGGAGCTTCCTGTACTGCCAAGGATCCTCTTATTGTTTTGAGAGCTCCTCGTGTGAGCATCTAGACATAAACATGGACCGTTTGGTGAATCCATAACCGACGAGCCAACAACAAACAAAGCACCTACCATTACTTCCAGACAAGAGAATCAAAACTACTTTCCCCAGTTTGGTGGATCGATGGTAAGAAACAGAGCAAAAGAAGAAAACGGTTTTTATAGAAAATGGCCGTTGAATACTAGCCAGCCGAAATCAGGGAGATATTTATTTTCCTTTTTTAAAGCAACAAAGCAAAGGCAAAGACAAACAAGACAACCACCGTGTGGGGTTTACGTGGCCACTTCGTAGAATAAGGTTATATTCTACTGTCGTCTTGTGACTTAAACGCCGAAGTAAACTTGTCTAAATGAGGAACAAGTCTAAAGTAATGGATATCACATGGCCATATGAAAGGGAGAGAGTCGGTCATTTACTGTCGTCTTGTAACGTGTTGTTAGATCTATGTCCGATGATTATATTTGAATTGTTGTATCATGTTATAGAATGCATATTCCACTCGGTTATTCCATATACATGAGTCAATAGGTAACTTGAACGGAGGCAGTCTACTTTGGTGGTGAGGATTGAAACTATGGAACATTTAGTTCATGTAGTATAGATAGAGCATGTTTCGTGGAACAGAGTTTTAACAAGACTTACATGAAGGAAAATATTTGACATTTCTTGACCAAATCTTTATAAAGACTTGGCTAGTACCGAACGTATTTGTACAAAGGTTGACTGACACTAAACTCCATCTTCGTGGTGTTGTGGTGATTGTTGAGAGTACTTTTACTCGGTGATCAGCATCTCAGCTTCATTCATCACTCCTGGAATCTGCTATTTCAGATGAAAACAAAAAAAAACTGGGTTAGTGCATGTATGGTTTGCAAAGGATCCAAGGCAATAACAACTCAGAGAAACCAAAACAAAATCATAAAGGAAAACATTTGATCAAGGATTGTGAACAGCATTCTAACAAACAGCTTTTCACGTTTATCAGAGCTACGGATACATACTTTAAACAATGACAAAGCATAATCTTTAGACTTAGTTAAAACAGAGAACTTTTAAATCCCTACTCCAAGGTTTTTGCTTTTAGCCTTTATGGTTGACTTGCAGCAAAACTTTACACGTTTGGTCATTCACTCTCCCAAGTACATAAAGTTAAGAGGAAACAAACAATCTACAATTCTTTCAATGAATAGTCAGCCACATTAGTAAATACTTCAAGTACTAAGATCCACAAAACCCCAAAAAAAACTCAGAGATTCCAGAATCTAAGCATTATCCCACACAAAAAACCTTATCCAATACACCCTCTAGAACCCTAAAACCCCAAAATTACAGAATCTAATTTGAGCCACCATCTAAATTTAGAAACCCTTCATAAAACTTCAAATAAACCACAAAGTTCCCACCTTTGAGATCAAATCCAAAAACCCAAAACCGCAAGAACCCAACTTTCTTTTCATACCTGAAGAAAACTCATCCAAGAACCACCACAAGATCCAGAAACACCATCATCCCCACAAGAACGAACAGTCTTGAACTGATCAATATCAAGCTTCTTGTTGATAAACCCAACCTTGAAGTAGATGGAATCATTCGGAGGCAGATCAACCTTGATCTCATCTACATCGAACCAAACAAAGAACCGCTTCACCTGAATCCCCTTGAGGTCGGTGATGGAGCCGTAACCGATTCGTCCCGATATGGTCGTCTCGTAGTAGACGAGGTAGTCGAACTCGATGGTGCAGGGCTTGGGAAGGTAGACGACGAAGCGGCCGTCGTCGGAGAGGGTGAAGTTGGTGACGGAATCGGGTAGGAGACCGCTCGGGAGGCCGTATTTGGGGAGGAGGTCGTAGACGGTGGGGATGGGATTCGGGTCGGGTTCGGAGAGGGAGAGGGTGGGTGTGGTGAGGAGGGTGAGGGAGAAGAGGAGGGTGAGAGAGAAGTGGTAAAGGGCCATAGTTTTGTTGAGATGTTAGAGAGAGTTGTGAGATGGTTTGTTTCTATGTTCGTTTGATTATTTAAAAGCTTTCGAGTTATGTATGTTACGTGTTTGAGATTTATTTTGGCTCTGTGCAAAAAAAATTTTAAAAGAGACAGAGAGATTTAATTTGGCTCTTTATTTTTTATATAGTTTTTTTTGCTTGAAACTAATGAAGTGTAGAGAGATAAATTCGGGAGATTTTTCATGGCTAGCCAGCAAAATTCGAGTCAATTAAGTAATCTAAATTCCTAATATATAAGATAAGTTATTTTTGAAAATGTTGCTTGTATGACCATTAAGAAGAATATTCTGTGAATATTTCTTTCTTGAAATATGTCAAACGCTTTAAACACTCTATTGCACTAAAAAATTTATACACTTAATGGTGGATATATATTATATAGAGAAAATGACTAGACTAGACATAAATTTTTTTTTATCACAATTATAGACTTTAACAATTAAAATGATCAAAATAACACTTAAATATTTATTAAATATATATTTATACCTTTTAGGTTAACTAAACCTAGATTTTTATGGTTAGAGTTGAAGTGTGGGGTTTTGGGGATGAGTTTCGAATTTAAAAAAATTAAGAAAACTTAAAATTTTCAAAATAAAAAGTGTTATTTTGCTCATTTTAATTTTTGAGATCTATTTTTGTGATAAAAACTTAAAAGAGGGCTATTTTAGAGAATTACCCATTTATATATGTTGAATTTGATTGTAGTAATGAAGATTTTAACCGGAGAATGAATCCCTTCTTACAATATTTGTAAAATGTAAAACAGTCTTTTAAATTTTTGAAAAACTTTATCTAAAAAAAAAAAAGATTCTCTAATAAACCAAAACCTAGTGTTATAAAAAAAAAATAAACCAAAACCTTATTATATTCAGCACCAGTAACAAAAATATATTTACAAGTTTGGTTCATTTTAGTTTGGTTTATTGTGTGTTTGTGGATCTGTATTACTTGCTAATGGGCTATTATGTGTAAAACAATGGGCCTTAAACACCTCACTAATTAAAAACCTAGACAACGTAATCGTCACTTCCGCGAGTCTCCACCTCCAATGGCGATGGAAGCAAGAACACATCTATTGGAGGTGTTGCAGACCGAGATTCTAGCGAGATTACCGTTGAAAACCATATCCAGATTCAAATCAGTATGCAAGCTATGGAAATCAACAATCGAATCTGCCTACTTCCGCCGTCTCTTTTTATCTCTCCACCGAAACTCATCGTGGTCCCTCATGCACGGACCAGACGAACTCATAGTTTTCCATGGATGCAAAACACGCGACAATCTTCCAAAATCTCCACCTCCACTCATCCCACCGTCTTTCAAACGCTATCACATCGGTGATTGCATCTACAGGGATTCCTCCGGTGGATTGGTTTTGATCACCGACGGCTCTGATAAAGCGTACTGCTACGTAGGCAGTCCAGTTTTACAGCAATGGATCAAAATCCCTCCACCTCCCTCTGATCCTAAAGGTGATTCCACCGTGTTTGGTTTAACGACTCGCTTGGACGAGGACGGTGTCGTTTTGAGCTTTAAAGTGGTTAGGATAGCTTCTTACGGAGTAACTAATGATTATCTCTCCAGCGTCTTGACTGTGTTAGTGTATTCGTCCGAGTCAGGGGTTTGGATTTCTAAAGTAATTCACTCTCCTCATCAAATCGGTAACATGTCTAATATCAACTTGAACGGTATGATCTACTTTGGTTGTCTCGGTGTGCCTGGAATACTTTTAGCTCATGATTTCTATTCCGAATCCGATCAATTACGGGTTGTGCAATTACCGGACTATCCGGATTACAACAAGGATTACAAACGAACCTTGACTACATCAGAAGGCTTTGTCACGTATGTCAGAGCATTAGCGAAAAAGGAAGAAACTGTTTTGAAGATTTGGAGGTTTAACAATGATGACGATGACACTTGGCATCTTTTGTGGGAAGTTCGCTTCCCGATGATTATCGGTGACTATGTACCCATGGCAATGAATCCATTTGATGTCACTACTGTCTATCTATGGAGTCAACGAGATCATCATTTGGTATCATGTAACTTGCGGAAAGGAGACTACGGAGTCCTGGAGGATGCATCTAATGATTGTTTCATTGACAGTTCTGTTTGTAAGAAGAGTGTGGATGAGTTGTGGCGTCCAAGATCACCATCAGATGGAGACGAACACTTGGACTTTGAAGTTTGTATCTGGTTAATCCAGTTTGTGATCCCACGGTGGATGGAATCGGTGCCTCGTCCTCCCCAAGCTGAGGTGATAGATACGAGGTCTCTTCTTTCTCACGCTACCGCAACACATGAGAGAATGGTGAGGGAACATGAGACAATGATGAGGGACAGAGAAAACTACCTGTTTTAAGTGTGATGTCTTTTGGATTTGTTATTGTTTTATAATGTTTCGAACTATACTTTCTTTGATTTTTCTTTTCAGAATTCTATAGAACACTTTTAATTATTTTAATCTACAAAATAGATTTGGACAAAGATGTGTAGTCCCCACAATAGTATCTATCATCAATCCATTACTGTCGGTAATATTATCAAACAAGTATTTCAAGTCAAAACATGTTTTAATTCTCATTAGTCACCAAATAATCGGATTTACTTTTGGCTCCAATCCAAAATCACGTTCATATATGTGTGTAACACACTAAATCAATGGATCTTTTTCTCCCACGAGTTGTAGCAACAAATGGTAGAGGCCTGAACGCTCGTGTCGTCGACGAGTGGAAATGGAAGAAAAAAAGTTGTTGTGCAAATGCGAGATTGCGAGGGGAATTAAGTTGATGAGGTCCCTATGTGCTATTGGTCTTGTTTTGTCAATGATGATGGCAAAAACCGCATAGGTTAAGGAGGTGAGGGAGATGCTGGAAGTATTCAAAGTTATGGTTTGGTGGGATGGCTCCGTCATTTGGGTCAAATGGTTGGTGATTCTTTTGACCATGGAAGAGTTCCAATTTAAATTTTATTTGGACATTTGGTATCTAATAGAAAAATATGTGACTGAATTTACTGTATAAAAAAATTCCAATTTAAATTTTATTTACAAATTTTAAGCTATTAATTATGTTTTAGACTAATTAAAAAAAATATTGAAAAAGAGTTGTAAGAACTTTGTTTATTTTGATTAATGTAAAAAAATGTCTGTAAATTTTTATTTTCTATCTTTTAAGAGCTATAACAAATATAGCTAAAACAAATATGTCTAACAAAATTATACAACAAATAAATTATCTTTATAGTCCAACCAATTAAAACCAAAGTATTATTTACAAATAAAAACAAAATAGCTTAAAACATCATAATAATTTTGGACTTTATAATTATTTATAAAGGGATTCATTTTAGCTGGGTTCATTGTGTCCTGTTGTGTGGATTTATATATTATTAAGTCTATCTCCAATCCGCCTCTATATTTTTTTAAAAAAAATTTCTATAAAAAAAAAAATATGTTACAAAATTAGATTTGTTTGAATATATGTTTCCATAGTAAAATTTTAATATTTTTAGGAGAAAATATAAAAGATATTATTTCTAATTCTAAAGAGACAAAAGTAACATTTCTCTATATTGTTTTCCAAAAATACGAGATTTTTATTGAAAATAATATATACCTGCGAAATCTATTTCTATAATAGAATTTTTTTTATTTTAGAAAGAAATGTAGAGATAACTGGAGATGTTTTAAACCCTTTTCTTTTTTTGTAAAACAGTGTAGTCTTATTCCCTCCTCTCAATTTAATCTAAAAATCCAGCGTCGCACGTCACAAAATCCATATCCAATGGCGATGGAAACACAAACACATCTCTTGGAAGTGTTGCAGACAGAGATTGTAGCGAGATTACCTTTAAGAACCATCTTCAGATTCAAATCAGTGTGCAAGACATGGAAATCAACAATAGAGTCTGCCTATTTCCGCCGTCTCTTTTTATCTCTGCACCAAAACTCCTCTTCTTCTTCTTCATCGTGGTCCCTCTTGTACGGATCATTGGAACTCATAGGGTTCCATGGATGCAAAACATGGGATCTTCCGAAGTCTCCAGCTTCACTCATCCCATCGTCTTTCAAACGCTATCATATTGGTGATTTTGACTATGTGGTTTCTTCCGGTGGATTGGTTTTGATCGCAGACGGCTTTGATAAAGCTTACTACTACGTGGGCAGTCCAGTCTTACATCAATGGGTCAAAATCCCTCCACCCCCATGTGATCCAAGAGGTGATTCTTTAGTGCTTGGTTTAGTGACTCGCCATGATGAGGACGGTGTCGTTTTGAGCTTTAAATTGGTTAGGTTAGCTTCTTTCCAGTCTACAAATAATTATCTCTTCAGTGTGTTACTGTATTCCTCTGAGACAGGGGTTTGGACTTCTAAAGTAATCCACTCTCCTCATCAAATTACCATCATGTCTAATATCAACCTGAATGGTACTATCTACTATACTTCTTTGACTTTACCTGGAGTAGTCGTAGCTCATGATTTCTATTCTGAATCCGATCAGTTCCGTGTTGTGCAATTACCGGACTATCCGGATTACAACAAGGATTACAAACGAACCTTGACTACATCAGGAGGCTTTGTCATGTATGTCAGAGCATTAGCAAAAAGGGAAGAAACTGTTTTAAAGATTTGGAGGCTGAACAAAGATGATAACGACACTTGGCAACTTTTGTGGGAAGTCGGCTTCCCGGTTTTCGGTAACTGTGTACCCATGGCTATGAATCCATTTGATGCCGCTACTGTCTATCTATGGAGTCAACGGGATCATCATTTGGTATCATGTAACTTGCGGAAAGGAGAAGACTACAGAGTCCTGGAGGATGCATCTAATGATTGTTTCATTGACCAGTCTGCTTGTAAGAAGAGTGTGGATGAGTTGTGGCGTCCAAGATCATTATTAGATGGAGACGAAGACTTAGACTTCGAAGTTTGTATCTGGTTAATCCAATTTGTGATCCCACCGTGGATGGAATCGGTGCCTCGTCCTCCCCAAGCTGAGGTGATAGATACGAGGTCTCTTCTTTCTCACGCTGCCGCAACACATGAGAGAATGGTGACTGGTGAGGGAACATGAGACAAAGATGAGGGATATACACATTGACTTCTTTTGGTTTGCGTGATATCAGTATGTTTTTTTTTATTATGTCTTTTGGAGGAGATTAAGACTGATACGAGGCCCATTAGTTTATGTAGTGTTCAATACAAGATCATATCTCGCATCTTGTGTGATCGTCTGAAGGGAGTTTTGCCTAATGTTATCTCTGAGATTCAAGGGGATTTTGTTGGTGGCAGGTTAATAACGGATAACGTTATCATAGTCCATGAATTGGTTCATGGATTACGAACGAATGATAAAATTGGTAAAGAGAGTATGGCAATTAAGACTGATATGTCAAAAGCTTATGATAGAGTAGAATGAAATTTTATTGAAGTGTTACTGGAAAAAATAGGTTTTGACCGTAAATGGATTGTCTGGTTAATGTCATGTATCACTACCGTAACTTTCTCGATTTTACTTAATGGACGTTCACATGGGTTCATTCGACCAGAAAGGGGAATTCGGCAGGGGGATCCTTTATCTCCTTTTCTGTTCATTTTATGTGTGGAAGCTTTAGTTCACGTGTTAAATAGAACTGAAGCAAAAGGGGAATTACATGGTATAAAGTTGGCTAAAGATAGTCCCTCGGTGCATCATTTATTATTCGCT